GCCAGTTAAAGGCAATGGAAATCATTTTCTACTCTGCCCCTCAGCCGAGGAAGGATGACGAACTGACCCCTAAGATCAGCTGCCCTTCGTTACATCTCTGTATGTCACGCATAGTTCAACCATCCAAGAACGACCACAACACTCTTGCCCACAATCACACCCCTACTTAAAGCAACAACTAGTTCCGAGCACATCTGCCTGTCTCAACGACTAGTTTACGAAAGTTATCTATTTTGGGAGAACAGTTATCTCGACTCGAAAATAGGGACCAATGCCCAAGCTTTGGGGGCATTATAAAACCCCTCTCCTTCGAGAGGGTCAGGTATCCAATAATCATCCTAAGAAACACTTACTTTGTACTTGCCTTCTGATCTCCCGATTCTTACTTTAGCATCAGAGTGTCTTGCAGGTACAACCCCCTCTTCCTTGATTCCAGCATCGCAGATAACATCTCTGGCCCACTTCAAGTTCTGATCAACCGTCAAGATCAGATAATAACAAAGGTATTTGATACGTTAGTTTGAATATGTGACATTTATTTATTTAATTTTAAATGATAAAATACAAGTCATTAGACTAAATTTAAAAAAAATGATTTATTTTTATAAAATTTTAGAAATCCTAAAATTGAAAATTGCCATCATCTTCATTTTACACCCTAGAAATACGAAAATCATAGTTCTTTAAACGTTCACCACCAGTATTATTGCAGTAAAATTGCTTCAATTGGTTGAATTTTTCTAACATTTTGTTCATGCTTTTGCTGACACGCAACAATTTCGTCTTCTACGACAAAGACAAACATTGGTGGTATCAAAAAATATAATTCTTATAACTTTATATAATTTTCAGTGGTTCAATAAAATATAGTTTTTCAAAACTAGGTTTTCATTGTGTGGGTAATACGTGTTTTGTTTAATTAAAATGTGAATGTTAAAACATGTTAATTGTATTTTAAAATTGGTTATATCTGTAATACAGATACTAATTCAATTCGATATTTCATCATGAGGAAACTTTATTAATGATAAACACATATTTTATAGGGGAGGGAATGAAATCATTGTAGAAGGGTAAAATCTTGATAAGTGGAGTTTCTTTTAGATTGTTAGTTAAAGAGTGTGGTTATAATGGATTTAGATTTTGAAGAAAGATACCAAGATTTTATGAAGAGTTTATTCGTTTTATTAATAATGTAAAAGTTGAAGAAATTGCTAATCACGACCTAGACTTTCTTGACCATATATGAGTTGAGCATAGTACTTAAGACATGTTAAGTTAAATATTGAGGCAAATGACTCAATAATGCTTATTAGGAAACAATTTGAAATGTAATTTTTTTAATGAAATAGTTTGCAATGTGATTTAAGTCCAATATATGCTAATTTTGAAACATCTCTTATATATACAATATAGGTTAATTTTGGAACATCTCTATTATACGCAAAATGTACTAATTTTTGGATCAACATGTAACAAAATTATTTGTATTGTTATGTTTAAAATCATGAAAGTTTGATAATATGTACTTATTTTCTGTTAAAAATTAATATTGTTATGCCCAAATTATGTTCAACTTATGTCCAATTTATGTCGAACCTAGGTTGAATTTATGTGTCTAAGTTATTAAACTATTGCAACAAAATTATGTTTAGATACATTAGTTATTTAATATATTTAAAAAGTATATTACTTTATATAAATATAACCCAATAAAATATTTTTTAAGATTTAAAAAAGTCTTAATATTCATACAAATATTTATACATTATTTATCAACAAAGTTCTTAGAGTAAAATTATGAACAGACATATGAGTAAAAAAAGCATTAATATATTTGAAATTTGAAGATGGTTTTATAAAAAATAAACAAAAGAAAAACTCAACTTAATATTTAGTTATGTAGATAATATATTTTCTTAAGCTACTGTTGTTTTGACCTAGGTTTCCAGAGTTGTACTAATAATTTCAGTTTAATATTGAATCACTCATCATATATATCAACTTCGATAATGTCAAGATTATCATTGGCTTTCACTTTGACATGATATAGAATATATAATAAACAACATTAAGCAAACCATGCTTAAGATCTTTTTTCAAAAGGACCATGCTTAAGATCTTATTAAAGCAAAAGCTTGATAATTACATCACATAGAAATTATAATAGCTTATTTGTGTCATAAAAGTTAGGTTATTGATCATAAGTGGTGTCTTATTCAATCTGGTCCCACCAAAGCCTGTCTCCCCATGTGATCATCCAAAAGATCTTTGACTAATCTTTTTGTTTTGAAATTAATCATATTCATGTGTTGTTATGGTGCACAATTTTTGTTACTGCAGGCCATGTTTTTGTGAGATGAGATCTCAAACAGTATATGTAATATAGATAGTTCTTGGGTTGGTTATAACTTTATTTTATCTATTTGTTCTTTAATTTGTCCTCACTTTTGAATCATCATGCATGCATTGATGGTGGTAAAGTACTAGTAGTAACGTGTGAGATTCGTGCTTTATTAGGATGCAAGCAAATTATTGTTTGGACATGATTGATAAGAGAAAATTGGTTTGAATTTAGTAAAGAAAAACTTAGTACTATAGTTGGAATTTCATCTATCACAAAAGAAAGCCACAAATAAGAGATAAATATGCACAAGTACTAAAGAGGATTAAGTCTAACTGAATAGACTAGTCTCTTCAACATGATGTGAAAGTATCATTCATATAAAAAATTTACACTCATGGAATATAAAATGTTAATGATATAAAAATCATATAAATAGATTCAATTATGTATATTTACTATATATTTTAATTTAGTGTTAGGAATATGCAAATTAAAATGATGTTTATTTACTTTAAAATGCATCTTTTATAATAAAATGGTAGTATTTATACTAAATAACACTATAAATATATATTTTAATAAAAAACATTAGATAATTATGATGGATGAATGCACCACTTTCTTAGGAAAAACACAAATTTGTCATTCATTTTAAATTTAAAATATCACCAAAATAATGTGAATTATTTTTTAAAATTATTGGGTCAAACTACAATAACTCATTTGTTCTAACTCTTCAATTTTGTGCCTTAGTTCGGAACAAACTATAAATATTATAAATGATCAAAACTTAAATATTTCTAAGCAATTAGTAATTTATATTTTCTTTATCCTATTTTATTTATTGTTTATTTGTAGTTCAGTATAAAATATATTAAAAATATCCATTATACTTATCTGTATTTTTTTAAATATATCGGTATGTATTGAATATTTTTTATACGATGACTGTAATTTAAATATATATGTTGTATCCAATATTAGGAAAAAAAATTATTTATTTTATAATTTCATTAATATATTTTATTATAAATTAAATGTTTAGGAAAAAAATAATAAATTAATCAATTCCTTCTAAAAAATGGCAAACAGATTTTAAGTTATTAAGCTATGTCTGCAAAGACAACTGCAAGACAACTTAATGTTTATGTTATATTTTAATTTGTATTAAAAATATGAAATTAAAAGTTACATATATTAATATATATATAATATTTTTGAAAAAATAAATCTATTAAATTTAGTGAACTTCTATCTTTTATATAGTCTTCTTACTATCGCACTATTATATTTATTTTCTGTAACCTTGTAGGATCTATGAGTTCGCACAGATCTCTTACTAATTAATAAAAAAATTGGATAAAATAACTAAAAACCCGAACAACCATGGACCAAACCGAACCAAATCACCGACTGACCAAGTCATTGGTGAACCGCCGCCGTTGACCGACTGTCACCGAAATTTTTTTATTTCTAAAATTTCGAAATAAATTTTCTTTCTTTTTATTGTTTAATAATTTGTTGTAACAAACTTGATGAGAATTACTATTAGAGATGATGAGTGATGTTGACATATACCAAATAATGAACTACAGTACATTCCATAAAACCAGTTCTAAAAAGAACACCATATGGGGCTCGAGACGTAATGACAACAAGTAACAGCTGCTTACAAATCACAAGGGCATTCACTGTCTTCTATAGAGACAGACCAACACCTCATTCATTCACCTAAACCTTTAATTTAACCAAATTTTGCCGATACATGTTCTTGCTGGTAGATCCAATTCTAAAAAGAATAACAAAGAAAAAGACTAGAAACCAATGATCATGAGGGGATAGGTTTTATCTCTTTCCCTTTTACTACCCTTTGAGAATGACTCAGCTTCCATCATTATGATGGAGACATAGGATTCCATATAGAACCTATGCATGGTTTTAACTCTTGTACCTATTACTATATGCCAGAGACGTTTTGTTCAGAATAAGGTTGTTCCGTGGATGGTGTGATTGATTAGATTTTTTGAACATGACAAAATACAATATTAAAAGGAACTCATACTTAAATAATAAACAAACAAAGTCTATAATATAGTCTTGTAAAAAAGAATATTCTATAATATTCAACTAAATGCAACTATTATTATTGATCTAGTACGGTCTTTAACCAGACTCTATTTACCTCTCGGCCGAACTTTGGATATCTTTGGCCGAACTCTAGATATCAGAGGTCGGTTAAGAGAAAAAGTATTGGTCATGATGGTATGGTAGATGGATGACAGACAATCAACAAATTGACCTAATTAAGCACCTAATTAACACTATTTGAGACCAGACAATTATTGATCACAAGAATGAATCATATAGAAATAAACATTTCAATTTTCAAATCATTTTATAGCTGGCAAAAAAGGACCACCAAACTCCTAACAAATGATTAACTAAAGCAATCATGAGCTTGGTCCTAATAAGAGAAAATATTAATAATTTAACTTGTTGCTGCTGCATAATTATTCTAATCACAAAAAATATAAATGAAATGAAACATTAGATTTATTTTAAAAAATGCTATAAAGCTAATCCTTTAGTAATAAATTATAGAAAAGTACATAAGATATGTTGCCTCTTGTCACATGAGCCCATGGAATCTTTCTCACTCAAGCTTCCTTCTGACTAGTCCTTTGAGAAAGTCAAAGCTGTGACCATAGCAGAAAACCCTCTTGAATTTTTGTTTGATATCTCATAATCAGGTCATGCAATAATATGTTTGAAATATTCAGCTCATTTATTTATGTAGCTAGATGAGATGAGACAAGGTCATTGTTTGTAATAACTACATGTTTTTCAATTTCAAAAGGCCAATTAAGTGCAATGTATTTTAATCTAGTAGTTAGAAGAAAGAGAGATCTTGTTCATTACCTATTACCATCAGGGTGGAGCTCACACATTTGATTGTCATCACCGACGGCCAACAAGTATCCTGAGGACGTTAAACCCTACAAATAAAAGCAATTATTGATTCCGGTGACAATGACAAGTTGACAATCGAATTTAAACTACCAATATAAGCATTGAATGTGGCTGGACAGTTTCCATCGACCATACCTGAATAGTTACGACATGTTCAACGACTTTGTCCTCGTTCTTTTCCTGTACAACAACTCTCTGCCCACTGCATGACATTTTGAATGTATAAGCAAATGTGTAGATAAACCATTCTACATATAGCAGTTTAGTATGCAATAACAGGCTTTGTTTTTGTTTTTTATAAATTAAACCACAAGTCAATAACTAGGATGACGAATACAATGTTATGTTTAAAACTCCAGTTTAACTGCTGACTAAAACAAATGAATATTGTGAAACTATGTTCGGTGTATCAGAGTAGTCTCTTTTGCGATTGAGGTGAAAGTAAGGAATAAAAGCCTATTAAAAAGAGGAGAGACAGAGACATAATACTAGAAATTTAAGTTACCTGTGCAACCATGTCTTGTAATATAGTTCTTCTAGGGTTTGAAATCCTGTATTCAGCATAATCGGTTACGCTACAAATTTTCTTAATATTATATACAGTAAGGTAGAGTATATTGTGGGTGCCTCACAGCAAAGCAGAACAAAATATAGCAAGTTTAAAAAAAGTTGAAATTTGGGAACAACTCAACATAAGATTTTAACTAAAAACACATCATTTTGGTTGTCATTTCTTATTTTTGGGTAAATGTCAATTTCTGTCTACCAAAGGTATACAACATCACATTAGTCATCTCTAAACCAGAAACTTTACTATAGTGCTTTCGCGATGATAAAAAACAATTAGTTTAGGGAATAAATTTTCTCATGTACCACTTTTATGTTTATATATTTACTTTATAGATTAATATAGTATTAGAATTTATCCATCGAGCCGCCCACTGTTTATATCCATGCACCAAACCAAAAAAATGTTGGGTGTGAGAGGTGTAGTGAAAAAACACAAGTTCCCACTGAGAAGAGATAAGGCTTAAATGAGTTTATAAAGAGTGACATCTCACACCTTAAAAGCCATTTTTGTCAGAATCGGTTAGACCCAATATAAAACTTAGTAGGAACTTATTTAATTTCTATAACAGAAATAAAATTTTCAAATGAATGACAAGATTATATGAAACTCTAACATGAGAGGATCCATCTTGTTAGCTTTGTAGTTCTCAAACCGATTCAATATAACTTCAGGAACCAATTTAAACATTTTATTGAATAAAGATCGAGAATAGGAGGGGAGATCTCAGAGGGTTTTCTTAAGTATTTATCTGTTCACAACAACTAACAAATTCAAATAATGATTCTTCACCCCCCTCCTCCTATTCATTTTACTAACGAAGCCCTATGAAAGTCTTAGCAAACAAATTGTTCTGCAATCCCTTTCAAGTTTTCTTCATGCTCAATAGTACATATAAGGTCCAATTTTAATTGCTGCTATTGAGTGATCATCAATGTTTTTATACCATTCTGTTATATGTTGAGGCACTCTTTGTATACTCCAGAAATTTGAACGTGGCCCATAAATCCAACTATAAGCTTGGGTGGCAAAAGTTCCCATTTAATTGTCTGTCTTCAGAAGTCCTATGACTAAGACCAGTTTGTGTCTGGCCCATCTTGTTAACAGTTAGACTCCAAATGTCATTTTTTTCCACTTAGCTTTAGGGATATCCCCAGTGGCTCTACTTCATCCCTAGCCCGTGCTGTCTCCCAAACTTTGTTGCTGTTTTGGAACGACACAATAGCACAGATCTTAGCTCTCGTCACTGTCATTACTGAAACATCAACCACCATACGTACACTTCAGTCATTATGCTCCCCTTTCAGCATCTTCTTAAGATAAACAATGCTCTCCCCCTGAAAGAGGTTGCAATTGATGATTGCTAGTCCATTTTAAGAACATCCTGAAATTCTCTCTTTCTTCCCCAATAAGATATCTGACAGGTTGGACCAATAATTAGGATGCAAGAGAAATTGATAGAAAGAAAAGAAAACCACAATGTTACTGAATGAATGATAGAGGAAAGGAGAGAGAAATCTCTTCTATTGGTTTCCAATTAATAACAGATTTCTCCTTTCAGAACTACCAAATTCACATTTTCCCCCCATTTATTTAACAAACCAATCCCCTATACAATTGGTTTGGCGGTTGGAGTGAGAGAGTTAAAGAGTGGAGTGATAAGGAGAGAAATGGTTCAATCCCTACCCCCAACACAATACTAACTATACCGACATTTATCACTCAAAAACAAATTAACTGCTCTAACTTTCCTAACTACTTTTGCTTCCTCTCCAAGCGTACAATACTTAACCTTATCATTGGTCTAAGTCTAACCCTCCAAGTCAATAGTAAAGGCCATTACAAGAAATAGCACAGCCATAAAAGATAGGAAAAAAGAATTCACCCTAGTAAAGGGGAAATAGAGGATTTAAAAACAAAATGGATGGTAAATAAGCAAGCAATTTTCAATTATATATTGCACTGGTGCATCCCGTTCCCTATGATAAATCTCTTTTTCCCTTTCCACAAAATATACATTTTGATCAATTTCATGAGATAATTAGAAGAATACCTTGGTTCACAAATAGATCAAAAAACTTCTCAAATTTGTTAAAAAAGGCTGCCAGAACATCTTCTCTTTGAAATTGGTAAGCTCCCACAGACAATTCTCTTAGAACTGAATTCAAGGATGTTGTTGGTTTCTCATTATTGACGTTCAATCCTATTCCTGTGAAATCATGGAATTTGTTATGACCTCACCAAAATGACACTAAAATATATTAAACTCTCTGCAGTGAACAGGCTTTAATATAGATCATTTGCTACCCAAGAATACCTTATTACCTGCACTGATGTTGAACTTCTTTGATTTATATGTTGAGGTGCAAAGAATGCCTCCAACTTTAAATCCATTTAAGTATAGATCATTTGGCCACTTGATTTTGACATCAATGCATGGTAATCCCTGGAATGAAAAGTGTTAAAATAAAATGTACAGTAGCTCAACTATAAAATAAAATACTGTGACAAATCATGGAAGTTGCAGAACGTAAACATTTGTTATTTAACAAAATAATATGCCAAAAACCAAAAATCATTCAGCATTTGAAACTCCATGATAATGGTAATTGTCTTCTACCTTTGATCCTTTAAGAAATTTTGCTCACATTTGTTCTTTATGCTTACTGGGGGTTTATACACATTCTGAATATCTTGGCTGTTTAGAAGCTAGACCGACCAACCAAGTTTGCACTATAGTAGATCAAAAATGAATTTCTTACAAATAACAACATTCCATACAGCTTCACAGTGTTTTTCCATAATCACATGAAGAACAATTACTTTTACCAGAATATTAAACTCAGAGTAGTCATTCCCGGATAGCAGCACGGAGTGGCTGACCCCAAAAGTGGGATAGTGTAAAGCGGGATGACCACTCTATTTGATCATATTTTGGACAAATTAAATATGATAACTATAAACATATTTTTATTGTAAAATCAAACAAATAACTCAACTCATATAATATTCATAAATCAAAGCACACACGACTCTTGAAGTGCATAAACGACTGTGAAGGAAGGTTAAGATTGAGTCTTAACTCAAATTTGATTGAAAAACCAGAAATTACACTTAAAACGTTGTAAATTTAAGGGGTGATTGCAGTTTTTTAGAGGGGAAAAGGATAGTGGGCCAAAAACTGCTCCGGACCAGGAACCGCTCTGCTCCACTATCCCTCTATTTACCCTATAGTGGGCGCTATAGTGTTCTGCACCGCTAAGGCTCTTCCCTTAGCGGTCAGCCTCCTCCCTACTCTGCTATAGCAGGAAAGCGCCGTTATTGACTACTCTGATTGAACTTCAGTTTGTTTATTTATTCAATAACTAACTCGTATACAATTATATTGCTTGAAAGCATATAAACTTATGTATTAAACTCAATACTACTTTCCCTAATCAAATTCACTGACGAGCCAGTAATTTAAAACCAAGTACTTACATTTCTGTCACAGATATCCTTGATTGCCTCTGTGATAGCAAGGGAAACCACATACTGAACTAAAGGAACGACCCGTCCATCCTCCATTTGCAGAGTAAAAGAAAACATGAGGCAACCTAACGGGGACTCCCAGACATTCTTTGACCGACCTAAGAGTTTAAGCTCTCAGAGTGACTTCAAAATAAACTAAAACGTACGTTAGAGGGGACAGAATCATTGTAAAATACTAAACATTCTATCAAACCTCGTCCTTTGTTCTGAATATCAGCAACACATACTGTCCCAATCGGAAGCTCACAAAAGTTGCTGCATAAATATAACATGAAATTCGGAACAAAAAGAGCTTAAGCACAATAAACCAGAGGATAGTCTAAAACACAAAGCATATAAAAGGAAACAAGCGCAAGACGACATACTGCGACACAACATCATGTGTTGAAGATAACTCTGGAGACCACATGAGAAACCTGCCAAATTGATTAGTGGAAAGAGAATTCACAAAGGAACTAAATTGAAAGGACTTTTGTTGCATTTGCATAACACTTTTATTTAATTCTGAATGCAAAATAATGGATAATTTTCCCTTGTCAGGGAGCTTAAGAGTGTTATTAGCCTTAATTGCTATAGCAGCTTCATTCTCAGCAAGTGATTTTCCACATAGAACCAGCAAAGTGTAGTCCACAGCTGATAAAAAAAATGGAGGAACAAATATTTCATATTTAAAATTCAAGCTTTACTCAAAAATTGTTGAATAACCATGAAAAAGTAACAGTTTATGATCTAACCTGAGGATGCCATGAAAACCCTCGCTGTGGTGGCTAATAACAACGAAGCTGTTGCTGAAGGGTTCTGTAACACCATCAACCGTTCAGTGATCAGAGTAGAAAGAGAAGCGAAGAAGAAAATCGTAGAGAAAGGAAACGAATTTAACTATAATATCGGGGCGGATAACCCGAGGCGGTTTTATTTCATTGACGGGGTTCGATTTTGACCCGATTTATTCCAATCGGGTCGAATCTAGAATTTTCGTCACTATCACTATAGTCAAGTAAAGTGAACGCGAAAAGAGCAAAAGGGGAAAACCGGAAATGGATGAATTGCATAAAGCCCTAAAGGATCATAGTTTAACCGTTTCCACCGTTCATGGAAAGGGTCGTTCTCTTGTCACTACTAGGGATTTCTACCCAGGTATCTCTCTCTAACTAGTTTCATTGTAGCAGTATCTTGCTTTTAGCAGCAACACCTCTGAAGAAAGAAAGGTGTATCTAGTGTCCGTCGCGACGCCTACACTGACACTTGTAATTAGGTTTAGTTTATTTATTTTTCAAATTATTATCGGTGTTGCCGTGTCAATGTTTGTCCCTCATTTGTAAATGAAATGCTGAAGAATGATGTAAACGCGTTAAAATGTGTTTTTCTAATTTGATTTTGAAGCTGCATTGCATTTGCAGGGGAGGTGATTCTTAGTCAAGAGCCTTATGTTTGTGTTTCAACTCACAAGAGGTGTGATGCTTGTTTCAGAACAACTAACCTTAGCAAGTGTTCCCGTTGTCAAGTTGTTTGGTATTGTGGAACACCATGTCAGGTTATGGATAGTACTTTATATCATGAATCATGATGTTACAAATATTTGAAAACAGCAGATACAGTGTGTTTGGATCAACAATGATATTGATATGGCATGTTGTTGTGGTTCTTTTGATGATATTCAGAAGTCGGAGTGGAGGTTGCATCGTCTTGAATGTGAAGCTCTGTCAAGGCTAGACGACCGCAAGAGAAAATCTGTTACACCGTCGATACGGTTGATGCTCAAACTTTATCTTCGAAGGAAGTTGCAAGATGAGAAGGTAAATGTGAAGAAAGTATAGTTTTTGCGATGTATTGGTGCTATTTAAGTTGAACTGTTTTTTTACACTGTAAATTTTACTTGCTTTTCGAGTAGAATGAATATATGGTTTATGCATGTAAATTCAATGCAAACATCTATCAATGTGGGAAGGAACTGTCAATGTAAACACTGAAAATTAATATTTGCCTTCGTTTGGCTCCAAAAAGTTGCGTTTGAGGGCTTATTATCCTTAAAGTTCATTTTTGTGGCATCAAAATAATTTCCTGCTGTGTAATTAGAAAGCTTCTTACAACCATTGATGATTAATATGAATATAGAGCAGTCATGAAAGAGTATTAATGTTCATTTTTTTCCAGATCATTCCAAGCACTGCTATGGATAACTACAAGTTAGTGGAGGCATTAGTGGCTCGTATCCTTTTTACTAGTTTTTTTCTTAAGCTTTAGTGCAATGAACGTAGATTTTTCTGTTTTCCAAAATGTTTGTCATGGTTGTTCTTTTTAACACTTACTTCCACGAAGACATGTCTGACATTACAGAGGAGCAGCTGGTGTTGTATGCACAGATGGCTAATCTTGTACACTTGATACTACAATGGCCTGAAAATATTAAACAGATTGCAGAAATTTTTTCCAAGGTTTTATGCTTCAAAACTTATTAGTTGATATAATTCCAATCAATTATTCTATCACATAGTGCTCTCTATGTTATTTTCACGAGAATTTACACATATTGGTTTTAGATAAGGTCATGTTTATGTGGATTTGACTCTCTAATGAAGCCTCTCTAAAGTAAGATCTTTTTGTTCCTTTAGTTTGCGTGTAATGCACATACCATTTGTGACAGTGAGTTGAGACCTTTGGGAACTGGACTGTATCCTGTTGTTTCCATTATCAATCACAGGTGACCACTTAACTTATTTTTTGTTCTGAAAATAATGTCTTAATATCCTATTTCTTTTTATTCTTCTAATCATGGTTTTACCTTATAGCTGCTTGCCAAATTCAGTTTTGGTTTTTGAGGGAAGAATAGCATCAGTACGTGCTTTGCAGCACTTACCCAAAGGGACTGAGGTATGTGTATCTTTTCTTCTTGACTAAGTAGAAATAAACATTGCCAATATTTAGTTCACTCGCTTATAGAGCAAGAGATGTCATTTAAAGATTATTTATGGAAACTCATCAAAATTTGGTCATAGAGTTAGGTTTTTACGATTAGCTTCATTTATTCTGTGTACACTCCATCTCATTGTACTCTAAGATATCTCCACTTTTAACTTGAGCCTTTTAGGAAACTACTATTATGACCTCTTAGAGGATATAAATGGAAGTCAAACTACCAGAGGCGAAACTGTGCCTCTACAAATTTGTGAGAAGTTTGCCATATATAGCTTTTATATGCCAATTTATGGCAAAAAAAAACAAAAATCAGGGCATCATTTTTATGAGTAGGTCTTGCCTAAAACAAGAAGCAATCTGACCCGTGTTATCCCTGAGAAGCAATCTGCCCTTGCGTTTTCCCCCAGTTATGCTTGTTGGTGCAAAGGTGAATAAATGATGAACAACGGAAATATTCTATTAAGAATGACGGCTAAAAACATGATAATAGTTACAATGATTGTCACCCTATTTATAAGCTAAAACTAGGGTTACTAGAATAAGATAAAATACTAAAATACCCTCTAACAAACTTAGGGGCTAAGGAAAAATAGTACAACTAAATAAATATGAATTACTATTAATATTCTAATACCATCCCTTAATTCATATTCCATCAAAACTTGTAACACCAATTTCATCCCTTAGTCTAAGAAATTGATCAGTCTTGATAGCTTTCGTCAGAACATCTGCCAACTGCTTCTGAGTGCTGCAGTGTACAACTTCTAACACTCCACTCTGAACTTGATGTCTCAGAAAATGATACTTGGTCTCAATATGCTTGCTTCTCCCGTGCAACACTGGGTTTCTGGCAAGATTGATTGCAGACTTGTTGTCAATCATCAACTTCAGAGGTTTGTCTACTTTAATCTTCAGATCCTGCAACAGATTCAGAATCCACACAGCTTGGCATGCAGTAACAGCACCTGCAATGTATTCAGCTTCACAGGTTGACAACGCCACAACAGGTTGCTTCTTGGAACACCAAGAAATGGAACCTCCCAGAAATTTGAACAAGTACCCAGATGTACTTCTTCTGTCAACTCTGTCTCCACACCAATCAGAGTCTGAATAACTCAGAAGTTCTGACTCATTATTTCCTCCAGAGGGAAATAACATTCCATACTTCAGAGTTCCTTTGATATACCTCAGAATCCTGACAGCAGCTTGATAATGGGACCACTTAGGTTTACTCATGAACCTACTAACCATCCCAACTGAGTAGCAAATATCAGGTCTGGTATTGCACAGATACCTCAGAGAACCAACCAACTGTTTGAAGGTTGTAGCGTCCACATCCTTTCCTTCAGAGTCTGAATCCATTTTTGATTTGTATCAGAAGGTGTGACAGCTATCTTACAATTCTTCAGATCAAATCTCTTCAGAAGTTCTAATTCATACTTGAGCTGATGTAAAATGATACTTTTCTCAGAATATCTGAACTCCATCCCTAGAAAGTATGTCATTTTGCCTAGATCAGTCATTTCAAATTCATTCATTAGAACCTTCTTGAACTTGACTACCTCCTGTTCAGAGCTTTCAGTCAGCAGTATATCATCAACATATAAACATACCAGAGTCATATTGCCTTCAGAAGTATGCTGAATATAGACACCGTACTCCATCTCACATTTCTGAAAGCCTTGCTTCTTGAAAAATGAATCAATCTTCTGATTCAAAGCTCTGGGCGCTTGTTTCAATTCATATAGAGCTTTGTATAATCTGTACATCATCCCTTCCTGATTCTTTTTCACAAATCCAGGAGGTTGTGACACGTAAACTTCTTCTTCTAATGGACCGTTCAGAAATGCAGATTTTACATCTAAATGTATCAGAGGCCAATTCCTGTTAGCAGCTATTGCAATCACCATTCTGATTGTTTCATATCTTGCTACAGGTGCAAACACTTCAGAGTAATCCAGCCCAGGTTTTTGTAGAAATTCTCTGGCTACCAACCTTGCTTTATGTTTGCCAATTGAGTCATCTGGCTTTAACTTCTGCTTGAAAACCCATCTTACGCTGATGGCTTTCTTGTCTTTTGGAAGTTCTATCAGCTTCAAAGTCTTGTTTCTCTCTATAGCATCAAGTTCTTCTTTCATGGCCTTCAGCCAGAGCTTCTGCTTAAGAGCCTACTCTGTACTTATAGGTTCAGAGTCTACTAACATGGCACACTGAATAAATTCTCCTTCAGAGTCTACTTCAGTGTCTTGCAGCATGTCAAATTCTGCAAATCTTCTGGGAACGCTTCTGATTCTTTGTGGTCTCTGAACTTGTTCAGAGTCTTGAGCTTCAGAGTTTCCAGCTTCAGATGGTTGACTTCCTCTAGAGTTTTGACCATCTTCAAGATCTAGCATATTTTCAGAGTCTTGGCCATCTTCAGAGTCTGAATTTCCACCAGAATCTGGATTACCATCAGAGTCACCTTCATCTTCTGAGTCTTCTCCAGAGTCAGAATCACTATCAGAGTCAGAATCAACGTCAGAGTTTACTTCAACTTCAGAAATTCTTAACTCTGACCTTTCTTCAGAAGTTCTAACATCAGAATCAGATTGAGACTTATCCCAATTCCAAACTTCTGATTCCTTCACAATCACATCTCTGCTGAATTCAATTTTATTGGTTTCTGGACAATAGAGCTTGTATGCACCTGTACTGTGGTACCCTATCAGAATCATCACTTTGCTTCTATCATCCAGCTTCTGTCTTCTGGCTTCTGGAACATGTTTATAGCAAACAGAACCAAACACCTTCAGATGACTAATACTTTGCTTGTCTCCAGTCCACTTCTGCATAGGAACTATTTCCTTCAACTTCTTCGTAGGACATCTGTTGAGTACATACGTTGCAGTGGCAACAGCTTCTCCCCAGAGCTTCTGAGGAAGCTTCTTCTCCTTTAGCATGCTTCTCACCATATCAAGCAAAGTGCGGTTTCTTCTTTCAGCAAGACCATTGTGTTGAGAGGTATAAGGAGCAGTAACCTCATGCTCAATTCCATTCTCCTCACAGAACTTCTGGAACTCTTTGGAGTTATACTCACCTCCACCGTCAGTTCTAAGAATCTTCAACTTCTGACCACTCTGATTCTCAGCCTTCATTCTGAATTTCTTGAATTCATCAAACACCTTGTGTTTGAACTTAATAAGGGATACCCATGTCATTCTTGTGAATTTATCAACAAATAACACAAAGTATTTATTCCTTCCAATTGATGCTACTGGAAATGGACCACACACATCAGAATGTACAACTCCCAAGGCATGTTTTGCTCTTGGAGCAACTTCTGACGCAAATGGCAAACGTGGTTGTTTTCGTTCCATGCAAACTTTGCATGACTTCTCAGGCTTCTTAATTGCAGGAATTCCATGTACCAGCTTCTTTGAATTCAGATGTTTTAGGCTTCTGAAATTCAAATGACCAAATCTTCTGTGCCACAGCTCACTCTCCTTCTCAGCACATGTTGCACTAAGACATTCTGAGTCTGCAGTTCTGACATTCACCTTGAATGTTCTATTCCTTCCCTGTTCTGACTCCATAATCAACTTCTGATTGTAGTCATACAGCTTCAGAAGATTGTCCTTCATGGTAACTGAAAAACCTTTCTCAATTAATTGTCTCACACTCATCAGATTGCTTCTGATGCCAGGTACATACCACACGTTCTGAATCAATGTTGTTTTCCCATTGTTCAGAGTCACTCTGACATTTCCCATACCTTCTGCATTAAGATATTTGTCATCAGCACATCTGATCTTTGTCCTCTTTTCAGAGTCAAAGTCAACCAGCCATTTCTTATTTCCAGTAAGATGATTTGAACAGCCAGTGTCCATATACCACCAGTCTGTCAGATCCATATCATCAGATTCAGAGGCCATCAATAGCACAAATTCGTCATCAGAACTTCTGGCTATATTTGCTTCTTCTGATTTCTTCTCCTTGTTTGACCAACAATCTCTAGCAAAGTGACCAAACTTCTTACAACAGTAACATTGGATCTTCTTCTTGTCATACTTCTCTTTTCCCTTCTGAGCATTCTTTTGCCTATCAGAGATTGAGCTTTCTGACTTCTGACCACCATCAGATCTTCTCTTGGCTTCTGACTGCTTCTGATACCTCCTATCAGAAGTTGCTTTCAGAGCCTGCTGCTCTACTTCCCTTTCAGAAGTTCTCTCAGTCAAACGCAACTCTTGCGCTTCTAAACTGCTCTGCAGCTCTTCAATTCTCATGGTACTCAGATCTTTGGAATGTTCTATTGCTACCACAATGTAATCAAATTGAGAGGTAAGGGATCTCAATACCTTCTCCATGATCGTTTCTTCAGAAAGAGTTTCTCCACACGCCTTCATCTCATTAGTGATCAGAATCACTTTGGAGATGTATTCAGAAACTTTCTCATTATTCTTCATGTTGAGATTCTCATATTGCTTTCTCAAGGACTGAAGCTTCACCTTCTTCACTAATGCGTCACCACCATAACATCTAACCAGTGTGTCCCACGCAGCCTTTGTTGTCGTTGAATCTGCAATCTTCTCAAACACATTTACATCAACACATTGATGAATAAAGAATAATGCTTTCTGATCCTTCTTCCTTACTTCCTTCTGCACGTTTTTCTGTTCATCCGTTGCATCTACTGCTACCGGAACATAACCATCAGTGACAAGATCTAAAACATCTTGAGCACCAAACAGTACACGCATTTGGATCATCCAACGATTCCAGAGATTTTGTTCAAGATTCAACACGAATCTAAGAATCAAAATCAAACACACAAGACCTCACGTTCACTCGTGTTTCCCGTGTTTCCCAATGAATCCGAACCGGAGCTCTAGATACCAATTGTTGTTGCAAAGGTGAATAAATGATGAACAACGGAAATATTCTATTAAGAATGACGGCTAAAAACATGATAATAGTTACAATGATTGTCACCCTATTTATAAGCTAAAACTAGGGTTACTAGAATAAGATAAAATACTAAAATACCCTCTAACAAACTTAGGGGCTAAGGAAAAATAGTACAACTAAATAAATATGAATTACTATTAATATTCTAATAATGCTTTGTCCTACCTTTTGCCAAATGCAGTCTGACCTTGAAGTTTCCTCTAAATGTTGTCACTAGCCCCATCTTTTGTCACCAATGTGATGTGGCCCGCCCATCACCCTCCAATCGCAAATTTTATTAGTTGTTTTTTTTTACAGAGTACATTTATAATAAGTTAAAACCTTAAATCTTTAGCAAGTTGTGGTTTTAGCTTATGGGGAAGTGTTGGAATATATTAAATATATCTTGATTGTATCTTAGAGTAGTTTATGATAGTATTTTAGAAGATAATGTGTTGCATTACATCTTTATTTTTTGTCCACATAAGGTTCAATAGTTGTTATTTTCTGTATTTTTTTTAAGGTATTGATAAGTTATATAGAGACAGCGGGAAGCACCGTGACTCGGCAGAAGGCTCTCAAGGAGCAGTATCTATTCACTTGTGTTTGTCCTCTCTGCTCTAAAGTGGTATTTGCTATATCACTTGATCTGCGATAATTTTTTGTTGGCACATCATAGTACTGGCTATTTCAGTAAAATTGTCATGCTTTCATTGGCTAATTCAGTTAAGTTAGTTTTGAAGGGTCGGTACGATGATGTTCGAAAAAATGCAATTCTAGAAGGATACAGATGCAAAAATGAAACATGTGATGGTTTCTTGCTCCGTACAACTGGTATGTCACCGCCCATGGCTCCAGTAAATGTCAAGTAGCAGAAAAGGAAGAATATAATCTTTTACTGGTTATTGATTTTGTAGTCTAATGACCTTTGTTTTTTCTTTTTTGATCTGTTTAAATTAAAGATGGAAAAGCATTCCAATGCCAAGAATGTGGGTTAATTAGGGACAAGGAAGAAATAAAGAAAATTGCAACTGAAATAAAATTGCTATCAGAAGAAGCTTCTAAGCCTTCTTCTAGTGCCAGTATCCTTGAACATTTCTGACTATAACTTGTAACTGCAATTGCTGTCACCTGAACTATTTTTCTTTTGCATTTGCATCCAATCTTTTTTCTTTCTAACCCTTTATGGAAACCTTGATCCATGTACATAGGAAATTACGTTCAGTTTTTGTCCATGAAATTAAATCCTTGACTATATGTAGATTATCAAGAAACTATATCTATACATAAAATGATTGAGAAACTGCAAACAAAATTATATCATCCTTTCTCAATCAATTTGATGCAAACACGAGAGACAATTTTGAAGGTAAGCTCGTCCTTGTAGTTCTCTATCTACTATTGTTACTATTCCAATATTAATAGTTAATATATATTGCTTGATGATACCAAGTGCAACCTTTCCATACATATTTTAACTTAGTTCAGCTACTGTGGAGAAGTGTATATAACCCATTTATGCAGTAATTGATATTTTAAGTTTTAACTTTAAATTAGTGAATCATAAGACCTGACGATGTCCTCTGCAGTCATTAATGAAGCTGGAACATTGGAGAGAAGCTTTAGCATATTGCAAACTGACCATACCAATCTATCAAAGTATGACATCTGAAACTTCTATCCTCGATAATTGAACCAATTATAAGCTTCCTTAACTCGGATTTTATTGTTAGTTTAAGTCGTTACTTCCATTTCATAGTGGTCTATATTGCCTTCAAATACTTGCTATTTTTGGATTTTCCTGGTTGAATGGAGAATAAAAATTCCTAATTTGCAATATTATACTTCATTGCAGGAGTATATCCAGCTGTTCACCCTCTTCTTGGCTTGCAATATTATACTTGTGGAAAACTTGAATGGTTAGTATCTGTCAACTGAAACTCGTACACATTCAGTTTGAATATTAAATTCTTCTACTAATGAAGCATATATGAGGATGTTAAATATCATGCTTCTCTCTCTTACATAGTACACTTGTGCATGTCTGTATATATACATATTGTTTGACTTTAATGGTCTTGATGTAGGTATCTTGAAGATACAGAGGAAGCTGTTATATCATTGACCAAGGCTGTGGATATACTAAGGATTACTCATGGTACAAATACTCCATTTGTTAAGGAACTTTTGATGATGTTGGAGGAAGCCCGTGCAGAATTAACTTACAAATCGTCTTCCAAATAGGAGTAGAAGGACAAGTTAATGACAGTAATATTGCAGCTGCGGTATAAGCAAGTCACTGGAGCTTGATCGCTGAGAATTATTATTAAAGATGGCACTTGTTAGTTGTTGTTAACTGATGAAATTTGCTCAGTCAGTCACAAGAAAATCATTATAGTACATTATGAAATGGAGAGGTTGTTGCGGAGATCTGGAGAATTTAACCTTTCACCTCCACTTATATCTGGCACTCTCAATTTGTAGCGAAATTTCCTTTTTATCCTTCCAAAAATTCTGGAAAATATGAAATTTTCAGTTTGAAACCGGAAATTTCATCATTATACTAGAATTTTTTCAAAATTTATCATGGTAGGACCATGTATCGGAAATTTCAAATTTTCTAATATTATTTACCGGATTTTTTAATATTTTCGATAAAGTTATATCGGAAATATAATAATTACATAAAATGAACAAATCTATCGGAAATTTAAAATTTTCAATATACCTGAAATTTTGATGAAACCAGAACTTAAAAAAAATTTCAATAATTTTGCAACATTGTGTTGCATAAATGATTTCACATATAATAAATACATAATGTCTATGAGATTACATAGAAAATTAAAATAACTTCCTAAGTTCTTCCTCACAATGCCTAATTTGTCATGTATATGTTGATTATCATACTTTTGCTTCTTCAGTACAGTTCTGCCTCCAATGATCAGTGACGGAAGGCAATGAATTATCAGGTTTTAATTTTACTTGAACCCAATGATTGTCGTTGACAAAATCAACAACAATGATTTTATGTCTGCTCCTATACATAGGTGAAGTTATGGTAAGAGGAGAAAAGGTAATGTTAAGTCTTTGTGATAGGGAGACAAAAACGACATTGTAGCTACTTGCAATAGGGTAACCCATATCAGGAACTATCATCCATTTTTCTCTATCCTGCACACCCAAGTGTTCTAATATTAAGGAGTTTCTAACTTTAGCAGTCGTGTATAGAATAATTTGAAAAACAACTTTGGGTGTTGATGAACTTGAGTATCCAATTGTGTCCGGACCAACAACCATGACTCTTTTCCCCATCTAAGTAAAATTGCAATAGCTTGAAAACCACAATTTCCATCGTCACCCACATCAACAATGTCATCAATGTATGAATGCAAGAAACCAGAAAACTGACTCCCTTGTGAGCTCTCACCATACTCCCATTACGAGGAATCACGATGCACATCACTATCTTCACCCTTTCTGCTTTTCTTAACTCCCTTATTTGGCTTGTACTTCATCGACGGTGGACACATAGAAGTTGTGATTGGATGTGTTAATTTTCGAACTTTTTTCTTCAACACCCTCTGCCCTACAATATCCAAAGAATTGAAATATGTCTTCAACTCTTCTCATTTTGCTTTTAAATTTAGCTTGTCACTATCGTCATGACGGTTAGCATGCTTTTGAATGTGTAATTTCTTCCAAAAAAACATGAATTGGTTCTAAAGGAATAGACAAGCATTGTATTTGGAAACCAGCAAGTTGACACGCACAAGGTAATGTGTAGTTCTAATGAAGCAACCACAAATATCCTTGCTTGTACCTACAAATTTTACCCTTTCTAGCTCATTCCCTATATGTTATATACACTGCCTTGACATAAAATCGTGCAAGTGGGCATAGAATGGAGTGTTATGCCGATGCTCAATGTTGACAATACTTTTTTGAAACGAAACTCTGATTGAACATAGTTGCAACTTCAGCATGGTGTTCACAACATCCCAACTTCGACATAAATCCCTCCAACTTGTAGTCAACATGTTTTTCAGTCTCCAATGAGCAGACTCCACCCTAAATCACAATAATTAAACCATAATAAGCCAACGGGATAAATTATGCTTAATAATAACTTCGAAAAGAAGTTTGTGTACATGTTCGTTGTTGTGTTCTCTAAATGAGTGACTCTGATAGTCCAAGTAGCCATAAACCTTTATTTATAAGGTGTCAACCACGTTTCATTTACATACTTAACAAACAAAGGTATATCAACGCAAACAGTCTCAAAGTGCTTCAAGTGTGTGAGATACTCAGTTTCTCTATTAGTATACATGATGTTGTTCCATAGATCCATGACATGTTCATGTCTTTCTGTTTTAACATACTCCTTGCATTTCATGCTAACATTTTTGGTAATATGGAACGAACATAACAGATGTGTTGAATTTGGAAACACAACTTCAATTGCATTCATCAACGCAAGTTCTTGGTCCGTCACAACAATATTGGATAGCAATTTGTCAGAAGAAAACAACTTTCTTAGCTTCTCCATGGCCCATGTGAAGTTCTCCTCCCTTTCATGTTCTAAATAGGCAAACCCTACTAAAAACGTCAACTTTGTTGACATAACGCCAACAATATCAAACAGTGGTAACCGGTATCTGTATGTTCACAATTTAAATAATAAAAAAATCTCATAAATCAAAGTATGTCAAAATGGTGTCAAGGTATGATCAATTTGCACATTACCTATTGGTCTTGTATGTACAATCAAAAATCAACACCAAGTGAAACATATTCAACAACTTCACTGAATCAGGATGTGTCTAAAAGATATAAGCAACAACATTTGAGTCTTCCCTATTTCTTGTCCATCACATATACTTTCCTTTATGAATAATAGTCAACAACATTTACATTTTCGTCAATGAACATCTCTTACTTGCATTGTACGTAGCTCTAGCTTTATACACTTGAGTAACACTAGTGAGGTTTTTTGAATCTTTGTTTTTCAAGGCAGAAACTATGTACCGTGGAGGCATATTGTACTTCGTCATATCATTCACAAAGTGTCTCTCATGATCTTTTAGACGACCCAATATGTCATGACCATCTAAATTCTCAGATAGTTTATGATTGTGAAACTCACACCTAACCATCACCTTCCAACCAATACCACTCGACAAAAATCTCGGTCTAAAAGGACATTTCACTTTCATATTAAAAATGTCATTTGAAAATTTACTGCTTTCAGATGCATTTTTCCTTTTATAGTTTCCTCCTCTCTCACAACCCATAATCAATTTATCCTTCCTACCTCGCTGGTCATTTGCAGTATCAGAACGAACAGCCACAACTATAACACTATGTTGCTTGCCAACATGTTGTGACCAGACTAATACTTCAACTCAGCCCTCAAATATTTGTCGTTTACATTACATAGAAAGTATAGTATTAATTTCATATAACGCAACAGAAATATTAAGTTTTAACTTGTTACATAGAAAACATACCTTGTCCGTGGTGAAGAACTGCGTGCAATTGCTACACGAATTCATATGACCTTGTTGGTTTCAGACTGCATAAAGTAAATAGTTTTGAACTTGTAGCTCTGTTACCGGAAATTTCAATTGCATATGAAATTTTCGGTATATTGGAAATTCCTAAATTTTCGAAAAATTTTGCTGGATACCAAAAATTTTATATATTTCCGGTATTGGACCTATCTCAAGCATCACTTAGTAGAAGTTATAAAATTGTTAAAATAAAGAAAATTACAACACATCTCTCCTTGAGCTCAGCTGAATAAGTGAATTACATAATTCATTTTTCAAATTTATATTCAAAGATATACACCACCAATGTGTAATTTGATTTTTCTAACACAATCATTAAAACTAATGTTTTCCCCCTGCCTTAACATATTTATACAAGACATGTACTATACTGATACACTAGCTACAGCGCTACACACTAACCTACTCTGAACAATCGGAACACGTTTGAACAAAAAAAACCAAAAAAATGGATTTAGCCAGCCATTAGTTACTCAATATCAGTACCCATCAAACGTTCCCGCAGTTGAGTACAGAGTTCAGACAGTTGGGACAACAGTGTTATTAGTTGATCTCTTGAGTTTAGTGACTGATTCGCTGACTCAAGTGGATCAACCAGTAGACGTTGGAGTTCATGACAAAGTTGGGATGTTTCAGGGTCATAAGCACAAGGTTCAGCAACAAGTTGTACAAATTTACAGCTATGGTCTTGGGACAAAGATGGATGAGGTAGTACGTGAGGTGCAAGAAAAGGATGTTGGAGTAACTGAGGAATTCTCCACCTTCGATTGCGATCCCATGCTAGACACCTCTTCATAAGATCCACTAACCATGGATTTGAAAGTCGTTCATAGGTGATCTTATGATTGGGATCTGTAATAATTTTAAATTTGGCCCAAAATGTCTTGTATTCTGAAAAAGGGGTTCTCCCATATACCATTTGATAAAGGATGCAACCCAAAGACCAGATATCTGATGGCCGTCCACACTTGATGATGTTTCCATTCGCATCAGTCTCATTACACAAAAATGCCTCTGGAGACATGTAGCTCAGAGTACCCACCTACAGTTTGAAAAATAATTTGGTGAAAGATAACACTCAAGTCAGTTTGACAGTTCCTGAAAATTGGGATGAAAAGTTCAAAGAACAGTTTTTTCATACAACTTCACAGAAATAAGAAATTGCATTCTTAAATTAAGTCTGTAAGAAAAACTAATGAAATCATCATAAGAGTTGTGCTAAATGCATCGCTCAACCTATCTAATTGTTCAGGACTTAAAAAAATTTCAAGCATTTAGCATATCAGTTTAAGAGTATCATTGACTCAGGCCAGTATTAATCCAGATGGAGAGAAAGTGCCCTTTAAGTTCTTGCAGAAAATCACCCTATTTGGTTATGACATGTGTTCAATCTATTATGTCCTATTCAATACAGAAGAATGATGATCGATGAAGCATGGACACCTCTAGGAGTAGAGGTGTCGCTGTGTCCGACACAGGTCGGTGTCCAACACTTGTATGGCACCTGTACGACGCGCACAGGAAAAGTCAAACAAGTGTCGAAAAAGTCATACAAGTGTCTCCTATTGAAAATTTTATTTGATTCGACACTCTTAGAATCAGTATCTGACACTCATATGTCACTCATACAACACGTATCGGACAATTCAGACAAGTGTTTCATAAAAAAATATTTTTTCTTTGCTTCAACACACCTTATAAATTTCTTAAACAAATCTCACACAATTAACAGGGTTAAACATGTATCGAAGCAATGTTATCGACGAAGAATTAAAGATATTAATTTTGATTAGATTATTTTTAACTCAAAATAATAGCGGTGTTGGTGTCCTATATTTTTTTATTTATCGGTGTTGGAGTGTCTATGTCTGCGTGAAGTCTATGCTTCATAGACGATGATTAAAGAATTGACACAAACTGCTTTTAAATAACTCTAGGGAAAATTAGTCACATCCCTAGAGATCTCTGTAAATAACACTTAGACCCCTCTACTTTTTACATAGACAGACTCACTTCCTTTAATTCTATAACTAATTCCACCCCCCACTTTTGCGTGTAAAAATAAACACCTCTATAGCTATTGTAGACTCACTTCCTTCCTTACACTATCGCCAAAAGTTTGCTAAAAAAAATCGTGTTCTTTGAACTCGAGTAAATAGAAATTATCTGACTTCTAAATTCTTATAAAGTTGAGCAAACCATATATTCAAAGGAAGGCTGGCTAAAATAAAACTTAACCATCCTGAAGAGAACCACTTAATACAGTTCATACATCACTAATAAGCAATTAGGCACCACATTTAACAATGTTAGAACAACTTTAGTAAGACATTGCTGTAAATACATATCCACATTATAATAAAAACAAGAAAGTAAGCATAACAAAAACAAGAAAGTAAGCACAGGTAAAACACAGCACACAGCCCCGAGGTAAGGAAAACACGAGAGTCAAAAGTATAGGAGAGGTGGAAAGTAAACAACACCTGTGATTCCCGTTGGATATTAGTAGTATCGCTCATTATTGCTTTGGCGATCCCGAAATCAATTAGTTTTAGGGAACCCTTGACAAGGAGGAAGTTAGCAGGCTTCAAGTCAGAGTGCACAATACGTTCCTCGTGAATTGTATTGACAGCTTGAAGAATTTGCTGCAAAAGACGTCAATAAAACAGTCTAAGCTAATTTAAACTGGCAGAAAAAAACAAGAGAAATACAGCCGTTCTTAACCAAGGAAAATACGGCAGTTCATAACCATATAAGGATAAAACTGGCAACATGCGTGAAAAATATAATGTCAACTTGATTATTGTGAATAAAATAGTATGTGAATGAGATTTAAATAAAAAGTAAAATTAAAATAATTAAAATAGTTAAAACAAAACTACATTTCAAATGCTATGTGAAATTTGAAGAACAGAATAAACATCAAGAACACATAAAAGTAGACATGGTTAGGCACGGAAGTGTTATTTGCATTATTTTGAATAAGTCAAACACTAGAACTTTTAACGATCAAACAAACAAGGCAAAACTAATTATCTAACATGAAATGAAGGTTATAGAGAACACAATATTTTCAAAGCTACATGTATGTAGATTTTGAAACCTGCCAATAAAATCGAAGCCAGTTTTCATCTATGATCTCATTTGATTCACCCAGTTTCTTCCACTGCTGTGACAACATGTGAGCTAAATCAATTTCACCGTATTCAAGAACCATGTATATATATCCATCATCTTTGACCCGGCCATCCTTATTACAAAGAGAGCCTTTCATAACTTCTTCAAGCAAAGCCTTGTCAGTCACCTAATTAATGCATCAAGTTAAAACAAGTGAAAATCGACCCAAAATATTTGGTTTTTTTTAATGTTTTGTATTATCAAATGTTAGAAGAGAGAGATGTGAAGAAAAAGTAACTAAAATAAAAAACTTCCAAGTATAACATGACATAGACCAGTTGATGAGCACAGTACCTCATAATCTATAAGCTGTATAATGTTGTCCTTTCCTTTCAGCCTATTAAGATACTCAATCTCTTGACAAAATCCATATGCAGTAGCATAATCACGACCCCTGAGTTTGATCTTCTTAAGTGCATATATATTACAATCTGATGAAATCACTTTGTGCACCTCACTACTTCCACCACTTCCTATCTTGCCAAGACGTTGATAAAGCTTGCCATTGACCTTGAAAAATAAATCTGGGTCATAAGTCCTTTTCTTAGTGACGGAGGAACCTTTACTACTCGCAGCCTTCTCTCGTTTTTCTAACTTAGAATATTCAGACTTTGCGTCCAAAGATGATGCTTTGGGCACTTGAGCCTGAGGCTGTACGCTGGCAACATCTGCAGGTTCTTTCCCTTTGATCAACTTGTCACTATCAGAAGAAGCATATTTTGAATTTTGAGTTTCTTTTAACATGCATTCTGGTTGCTCCTTAGATTGGTCACTCCCTTTAAATGCCAACTCAGAGTCAACACAAGAATCAAATGTTTGCACCGCATTTGCAGCCTTATCAACGGATAATTTATTCACTTTTTCGACACTAATGTCTATATTTTCTGATTCCATAACTCTTTCAGCTTTTCCTAAAGGAATGGCAGCTACGCTAGGGCCACTTTCTAAATGCAAACGGGTCGTTGAATTCATCATAGGAGCTGAAGTTGAATTGACCGAGGTAGTTGTGGCACACGAAGGTCCAACCACCGAAGACTGTGTTGCTGGCTTACTAAGAAAGTTTCTGAACTGGTGCAAATTATCCCGTGTAACCGGACCTCTCCTCGGCAACATAGAGCAACTTACTCCTCCATCAGGCTCGGCCTTCTGAATTTTAGCTTCCTTTGAATCATCAATTGAAGCTTCGTGTTGGTTGCCTTCAACATATTCCATTTCTGTGAATCCAAGTGAACTCATATAAGAAGACAAACTCTCCAACTCAATGGCCTTTTCATCATTGGCCCCTGCATTGTTAAAAACATATTTGGAATATGCCCACAAGCACAAGTAGGACACAACAAACAAGAAAAAAAAAAGAATATAGATAAATATACAACAACAACTGAGCTTTTTCCCACTAAGTGAGGTTGACTACGTAGATCAACTTTCGCCATGATGTTTATCCAAAACCATACTTTTTCCAAATCGTTAATCTCAAAAACTTTCTTAATAACCTCTCTTATAATCTTTTTAGGCCTTCCTCTTCGTTTAGTTGTTTCTCTCCATCTGACCTACTCTCTTTATCACAAAATATCCAAGTCTTTTCTTTACATGTCCAAACCACTTAAGTCTAGTTTCCATCATCCTCTATACACTATAATATTGTCCTTTCTAATCATATTCTATGTAGTCTTTCCACACATCTAAAGCAACATCCTCGTCTCTACTACACTTATTTTCTACACTTATTTTATACTCAAGGTGATTCTTAATCGCCCAACACTTCTCCATTTCAGCCACCTAGCTTGAATACGATGATTCACATTCCCTTCTATTTCTCCACCATTTTGTATTACAGATCCAAGATATTTAAACAGTGTGACTTGAGGGATGATATGGTCTCGAACTTTAACCCATTTATGTTAGAAAGACTTCTTCTTGTTGAACTTCCATTCCATATACTCCACAACAAGACTTTTATCTAGTCTTTTCACACATCCAACATCTTACCTTCCATCTTACTGCTTAGGCGAAAAACATGTACCGATTAGGCGAAAAACATGTAACATACATTTCAAAAGCTCATCACCAAATCTCCAACCTCTCATTTTTAAATTCTCGTTAGACTCAAGTAGATAAAAATAAAAATAAAGATAACAATAAAAATTTACCTTGAGGAACCTTGGTGTGAACATTTGCATCTTGAGAAGGGTTAACAACAGTGCTAGCTTCAGAATCGTTGTTTCGGCGTGTGAGCGAATCCTTTGGTTGAATAAGAAGAGTACGTCTTGGCCTAATGATATTGGATTGCCCTGTACCTAGTAAAATGCAGTAGAAACGATAAGTGGAAACCCTAGCTAACTCTGACTTCGGGGGAAAAAGAAAAATGAAGGAAAAATGGAATACCGATAGGACGGTGGCGCTTCAAGGCGGCCTGAAAGTTGCGGACGAAGTTCGGGGAAGAAGGATCCGGCTTGATCGGATGGTTAGACTTCCCATCCATGGAACAATCTCCACCGCATTTCCAATTTCAATTTCAATTTCAGTTTACCTCCAATTTTTTCTCATGGGCTCACTTTACCTTATCCTTCAACACGGGCTTCGTTTTCTTTTGGGCTTATTCTTGACGGCGATTTCTTTTTTCCAACATACTTTACACTTATACACCCCCTTTCAAGACAAGTATATGCATTTTAAGATCAACTTTTAAAAGTATTTCTTAGGATGTATTTGTTTCAAGGAGCAAAGTTATAATTTTGTCTCGTTAAATCTACTCATTGGATATCTGAGCAAGCATATAAGATATAGGAGTGCGAGTTCGGATCCGCAACGTTCTATTTATTCAATTTTTAAATAGTAAATTTTCAATCATTATTTATTTCTTAAGAAAATATATTCAATTTAAATTTTAAAATAAACATAAACGAGTTAAAACGTTTGGAAGTGGAAAGTTATGTGTGGTTATTTCATGAAAATGTATGATTCTCGCCTTATAACATGTGAATAAGTTTCTAAAAATAAAAAGTTTTCAAACATTATTTTTTAAAACTTGAAACAAACATGAAAAATATTCCAACATTCGTTCTGGAGAATAAATTTACAATCCAAGAAACAAATTCCCCTTAAGAAAGAGTTTTGCCTATATTGTGAGACATTTTAATCTTCTCTTATTAGTGTGGGAATATCTTATTTATGTAGAGAGCATTTGGTATTATGATCAAATGGAGTGCAATAGCATAATGGAATTGAAAGATGATAATGGAATTAGGAGGATGCATACAATTGTTGTGTTGATTTGGAAAGTACATTTATATGTTATACATCATATCCTACAACCTGATGTAATTGAGGTATCAATATTGTCACTTGAGTATAGTGTTGAAGTAGGTGCCACTGAAACTGAGTTAGGTGAGAACATTGATGAGAGGACCACTTGTGTTGAGAATGTAGGAGGCAACACTGAAAAGTTTCCAACTGAGTTTGAGAGTGTTATGGATGAAGGAGACAAGGAGTTTAAACTTGATGTGGAAGGAGGAGAAATAAATGACAAGGGGACCGCAAATGATGCACATGATATGGAAGCTGGAGACAAGGGGGCCACTAAGGATGCACATGATGAGGGGACCATTTAAGTTGGACATGATGAGGGGACCACTGAAGTTGAACATGGTGAGGGGACCAACTATAGTTGAACATGGTGAGGAAAATGAGGGACTAAACTGTAACAAAGAGAGAGAAAAGGGATTGAACTCTAACAATGAGGGAGAAGAGGGACTGAACTGTAACAATGAGGGAGAATATGGATTAGAAGATGATGTGAACTATAACATAGAGGGAATATAGGGACTGAACTCTAACATAAAGGTAGAAGATGGTGGCAGTGATGACAGTGCATTGGAGATCAATTTTGAAAATTCTGATGATGATGTGGTTATGAATGAAGAGATGCCAGTAACTGAAAATGAAGTTTCTGAAGATGAGGTGGAGAATCCTAGTTTAAAGCTAAGTGACATCATGGAGAAGACCCAACAGAAATAGAATGTGGGGATCAACAAAACTCTTGCATACAGATCAAAGACCATAGCAATTGATATTGTAGATGGATCATATAGGGAACAGTACAAAAGATTACATGACTATGCACATGAACTACTTAGGTCCAATCCTGGTTCAATAGTTAAAGTTGCAAGTCAACCATACCAAGGTGGAGAAGAAAGCATTGAGAATCCTGAAAGTCAATTGAGTCCTCATTTTCAAAGGATCTACATCTGTTTTAAGGCATGCAAAAATAGTTTTTTTAAGTGCATGCCTATAATAGGATTGGATGGCTGCTTCTTGAAAGGTTACTATGGTGGACAGATTCTTGTTGCAATTGGAAAGGATCCAAATTACCAGAGATGATACCAATTGCACTTGCTGTTGTGGAAGGAGAAACCAAATATTCATGGAGTTAGTTTCTTGAATGGCTTATATCTGATCTTGGAGGTACAAGGTTGTGCAAAACATACACATTCATAATTGACCATACTTATATATATGGATTATTACCAGCTCTAGAAGAATTGATGCTACAAGTGGACCAAAGATTTTGTGTCAGGTATATACTTTATTAAGTGAATGTTTTTGGATTTCCAATTTTGGCTTATTGAAACTTAATAATTGGCCTATAAATGAAGGCATCTATACAACAATTTTAGGAAGAAATTCCCAGGAATTTAACTCAAGGAGTTAACATGGAAAGTTGTCACAGCCAGTTATACAAATGCTCTTGAAAAAGCAATGTTGGAAATGAAGGTTGTTAATGTAGATGCATTCGAGCATTTAATAAAGTTACCAGCTAGGTTTTGGACCAAGGTTTTCTTTAAAACTAATCCTTTGTGTGATACCCTTGTGAACAACATGTCAGAGGCTTTCAACTCAGTGTTTGTGACAATTAGGGCCAAGCCAATCATAACAATGATTGAAGAAATTAGAGTATATCTCATGCAAAGATGGGATTCAAACTGACAGAAAATTTCCAAGTTTGAAGGTGATATTCTACCAAATATCAAGAAAAAGATTGCAAAAGAATTTGAAAAAACAAACAGTTGGATTATGAGGTATTTGTTTATTAAAATGTTTATTTTACATTTGTTGATTATGTTGTGTGGTTGAGTTCTTATATATTTAACAAGCGTGCAGGTAAGTACGATTATGAGGTGAGACACATCTCATATAATGGAGAAAAATACATTGTGAATTTATCAACCAATGTGCGTTCTTGCAAAAGATGGATGTTGACAGGTTTACCATGCTGTCATGATGTATCTTGTATGAAATCTCAAAAATTAAGAGATTGAAAGCTATGTGCTTGATTGCTACAAAAAACAAATGTATGAAGCATGCTATGCACCTGTAATTTTTCCAGTCAATGGGGAAACTCTTTATGTTGAATTACAACCACCACCAATCAAAAGGCAACCAAGAAGGCCAAAGAAGAAGAGGACTAGAGATTCATCAAAGATCATAAGAGATGACACTTAGCTAAAGAGAGCTAACTTTAGCATTAAGTGCAATAGATGCCACATGATGGGGCACAACAAAGCAACCTGCAAATTTCCAGGTCCAAGTCAGACCACTCAACCTGAACCAAGTCAACCTGAACCAAGTTAGCTTGAAGTACCTCAACCTGAAGCAAGTCTTCTTGCACCAACTCAGCTTGAAGCAAGTCATCACGCACCAACTCAACATGAAGCAATTACAACTTGATCCAATTTCACTTTTTTCATGTTTGTGTAACTTAGTGTCAATAAACACTTTAATTAGGCTTTTGTGTATTAGTCTCAATAAACACTAACTTAGGATTTATTGTATTGGTGGCAAAGAACAAATGCCCTTTTGTATCAGTTCCCTTTTGTACTATTGTCAAGAACACATGCTATTATATTGCCTTTTTGTATCAGTGACAAAAACACATGCTATTATATTGCCTTTTTGTATCAGTGACAAAAACACATGCTTTTATAAAACAACATATTTTGTTAAAGCAATAGTCATTAACTTGTTATTTACATGATTCATCAGCTTGTTCTTTATAATGCAGAACATTTTGTTAAAGCAGTATTCAATGGACTATATGTTATCATAGAACCATAACAGACCAGTTATAAAATAATATTTTTGTTAAACCAATATTTTGTTCAACTATATGTTATCATAGAACCATAGCAGACCAGTTGTAAAATAATGTTTTTGTTAAAGCAATATTTTTGTTAAGGCTTAATCATACCATAATAGAAATGCTTAAACATTGAATAACATTTATAACATTCAACCCATTTCATTTAACCAAAATCAAACATTCATACATTCATAACATCAAATTACATGTTGTGTTGCCCACAAATCTATATCAAATACATTGTTACAAGAACTATATTAAATCTTAAACTAATAATGCCAAACAAAATTGCATTTTTTAACATTCCTCTTATGCTCAAAACCTCATTCTTCAACTTGAATATTTTCTTCCTTTGCCTTTCAATCTTCAAATCCCTTCCATCAACAATTTCATCTCCTACCCACTTAAAAAAATTACATCACTTCTCCAGTTGATTTCTGTAATTTCTACAATCCCAAAACTTTTTCCCAACATTGACAATATTCAAATCTGTAACAGTACGCATTACACACTCTTCTTCACACCAACACTTTATCATTTTCTTTCTTATCACAATAGATCCAAATGAGCCATAACATTGGGTGTTTGATTATGATTTGTTGTTGGAGTTTATTGACATGTTCACATATGAACGAAGGAGGAAGAAGATGGTGAATAGTAACCTGACGTGAAAATATTACATTGGACAAAAAATGAGGTTACACGGTTAATATAATGCAATATGCTGAGTCACAAATGAATACCAATCCATGTTGGCATGCCACATCAGCGTACTTAATGTTTTCACTACAAAACTAACAGAATGGATCAAGTTGTTTAACAAAACAATTGTTAAGGGATTATATTATAACATTTATTACATAAGGGGTCAAAGTGAAAACTAAAATTAAGTTGAGGGACTTCATGACTAAATAAGCCTAAATTAAAAGATTTCTAGGAACTTAAGGCTCTACCCAAACACTTTTTTTATAAAAACTAGTGGGATACCCGTGCATTCGCACAGGTACTGGCGTGTTACGCGTATTCGTTTTAAAAATGTAATAAAAATGTTTTTTAAAAAATTACCAAAAGAGTTTATTATTTTTAAAAGAAGACATAATTTGATTTATATGCGGATTATAAAAATAATTTTTCCATATATAAAAATGTTCGGATGAACGGTATATTTTTCTGTATGTAATATTTTTTTTTAACATTATTTATAAAAATATTTGGATAAAAAAACTTATTCCCATTTACAAAAAAAGAAATATATTACGATTCACTCGTTAATTTAAAAATAAAATTTCTCATTAATAACATATAAAAGTGAAATGATTAATCAATAATCTATAACTCACTTT